CTTGCTATATTCGTTTCTTTAGTACCTACGAAATACTCGGCAGCTCGTAGAGTTCATTATTTCATGTTACTTTAAATTTTGAAAATTATTAAATGCTTATTTTGTTATTTTTGATTCGTTATATCACTACAAAGCTGCGTTTCCTTTGAGTGGTAGGTTGTTAACTCGCTGTTGCAAGAAGATACGGTTTTACATATAGATTATGTAGGTACTTAATATTATAAAACTGAAGAGTTTGTTTGTTTGGTTGAACGCGCTAATCTAAGGAACTACTGGTCCGATTTATTTATTTATTGATAAAGGTACACCAACAGCAATACACATTTAAGACATTCACAGTATACAACACATATTGGGGTTTTAGTTTAAATATGTTTGCCAATTACAGGTATACACAACAATTTCCATGGTCCGATTTGAAAAAAAAATGTTGAGTTCGATAGCACATTTATCGAGGAAGGCTTTAGGCTATATAACATCACCCTACAGCCAATAGGCGTGAAGCAGTAAAGAAAAATGTTGCAAAAACGGGAAATATTTACTCAAACTATTTTCACGCGTACGAAGTAGCGGGCAAAGCTAGTAAGAAATAAAAGAAAATATCTTAAAAGACGTTGAAGATTATTTTTATACGAAAAAGCATTCGTTATCACATCAAAAATTCTCAGAAAATTTCTCTCTTACATGTGCAAAGTGACAATAATAAATCGTTAGCATTTCGCGCTCGCATTTCTAGCTGGGAGCTGCATTCTGCTGGCGCTGGTGTTATGTAGCGATTTTTCGCGGTATTTTCCTTTTTTAAACGTTCCTGGAAGTGCTTTCACAGTACATATGAAAATTAGTAGACCCACTACGGAAGTAGTTAACATTAAGTTACTTGTTAAATGTATGTTAAAAATAAGCGACTCTAATCGCTAAGATTTTTTAAAAGCTAATTGATTCTTCTGCACTCCACTAAATAGGCCAATCAAAAATAATGATACATAAGCTATAAAAATATACTCAAATAGTAAAAATAATCATCAAGCCCATTGGGCCCGATCACACGAATTTTCCCGAGTAATTTTGTAACAAATCGGTCGCCCCGGCTAAATGGGAGTCGTTTATAGGCCGATTTGCCGCGTAATTACAAGCCAGCTGATTGCGGTCGCGATCAGCCGCCGCCATTATACCGCGCAGCCCAAAAATAATGATAAGTAGAAAGATAAACGCCACTTAGCGCTAGGACTAGTAGAAATCCCGTCAGAACTCAAACTTATAATGATACAATGACCAAAGATTGTTCAATTAGAACCTAAGATGAGTTGCAGCGCAGTGTGGCGCCGCGTCGCGTGATATGGCGAAATCTTTCGCTTGTTCCGCTTTTTGAAAGCTTAAATCCTGATATTATAGGTATTTTCAACCGACTTCAAAAAAAGGAGGAGGTTCTCAATTCGACCCGTATGTTTTTTTTCTATGTTTGTTACGCGATAACTCCGCACATTAATAACCGATTTGAACAAATCTTTTTTCTGCGTATAGGTAATACCTCAAGGGTGGTCCCATTTAAATTTAGTAATAGAAAAAACAACCCCCAAGGGTGGAAAATTGGGGATGAACTTTTTTATACGCAATATCTCCGCCGATTATAAATCAATTTGAACGATTATTTTTTTGTTGAATAGGTATTATCAAAAGGGTGGTTTCATGCGAATTTGAAGAAAATATTTCACCCCCAAGGGTGGAAAATTGGGGAAAAACTTTTTATACGCAATATTTTCAATTTTTAGTTTTTTTTTGTGTTCACGCATTTGAAGTCGGTTTTATTTTTTTTAAAAGTTAATTATTTGTGATCGGTACCAGTGTGACTCGATGGGAATTTGTTTCCCAACGAGTAAGAGGGTTACTCGTTTGGGTGTGACTCGCTGGGAACAATCGAAATCTTTTCGGTTCAGCACCTTAACCCATCGTGTGCTTTAGCTCTAAGGCAAAGGCTGCTAGCGGCCCTAGGATTAGTATAAAGCACATAGTACGTCAACACTCCCAACTAATCATCTCAAAACAATGACTAAAGACTATTCAATAATCATCATACTTAAGTATTCATGTGAAACTTTGTGAGGATGGATTTTTGTTACCCTTTTACTGTGTTTAATGAGCGTCGTTTAGCGGGCGATTTTCAGCGTAATTCCAAGCCAGCTGATTGTGCCCGCGCCGATTAGCCGCCATTACACTATACGGCCAAAAATAACGATAAAGACCAATTAGAGGCCCTAGGATTAGTAGAAACCACACCCAGGACGCGAGCCACGTCACAATTCTAAATAATCCGCTTAAAATAATTACTTTAAGCATAATTATTATACTTGTATCGTATCTATCTTACTAATATTTTAAACTGTATTTTGCCCACGGCTTCGTCCGCGTGAAATTCAGTTTGTTATAAAAGACATAATAACACTAGTTATAAAAATAAAATACTTTCTCTCTTCCTTTCAGAAGAGAAAAGAGCAAGGCACCTTATCTTTTTTCTCACCTCCTCTTAACGTTCATAAGAGTCAGTCGCCGGATTTCTCCAATAAAAATAAAATTAGTTTAAAAAAAAACTTAAAATAAAATAAATACATAAATATAAAAACAAAAATATATAAAAAAAAAACATTGTATTAACTATCATCATCATCATTATTTTTGTAAATATTATTGACTCACGTACTTTTACAGTTTGCTCGTACAAAATAGCGAGAAACTGTTCCACTCTCTCTCAAAAAAAACTATTTAAGAAAGTCAACATCTACATTTATCTCTAATTATCTGGTAATAACCAGATTTTTAAAAAAATACAGCTTTACATAAACATACCCTTAGGAACAAAAATAGTGCTATTCGCGTTCCATTTCAGCTAAAATATAAAAACATGAGTTACATTATCCACCGCCAGTCTGCTTGTGACCACGGCTGCAGCATAGCAGCCAAAACGTCAAGCCTCATAATAAATGTCGCGCTGAGACCCTTGTTTCTCTTTTTAGTAATAAATAACATACATTTATGAAAGCTTTTTAAAAATGCTTTTATTTTGGTACCCCACTCGATAGGTTTTGTTGACTTTCATTTTCACAAAATAAATGGCGACCAGCAGTCGCCATATTGAATTTTCAATAACGTCACGTCTTTAGTGACATTCGCCGGAGGAATCGATTGACGTGCGAATCATAAAAATCGGCCCATGCGTTTGGCCCAAAGTAACATACATACTTTTATTTATTTATTTTTTATTTATTTTATTTTATTTTGTTTGGAAAACATACAGTGAAACAATAATAGATTAACCACTGCTTAAGAAACTATACACCATTTACATGTTTTCGCATATGTGTAGCAATACAATACAACAAAAGCCAATTCGCTTACATGAGAGAGTTATTTTTAAATTAAGATCTATACCTACATTAAACAGCTGATGAACCGTCGAACCAAGATACTTATGCTTTTAAACACATTACCACTCCTTTTCGTCGCGCAGTCTGTTAAAAATAGTGCTTCTGTCTCTAAATATACTGTGGCGCTTGTTAGCAGAGTTCCTGGGAGCCGCGGCCCATTCACAAACCCTACAGTATTTGCTGCTCCAGAAAAATACTTAATTGTCTTTAATTAGGCGTTGACCGCAGGAAATTCTCATTTACTGCTACCCTCAAATTTGCGCGCGTCCTAGTGATAATAAGTGTCTACCTATAGACGTCATTAGATATAATAAAAGTTTTATTATTGAAGTTACTTTTCGGTGTCTTTAATTTACTTAAAACTTCTAATACCGATTACATTTTTAAGAGAAGTACGCCCTACGAGCCCTTAGTGAGCATAGCCTGATTGTTCAAAGGCTTCTCTGAATTATATTCAATGAACTATTCTGAACAAGGCGAAAGTTTATTTTATTTTTATTTTATTTTATTTATTTATATTAGGGAAACAAACAATTTTGACATACAGACAAATAATCACACAAAAAATAGGACAGAAATCAGCAAAGTTTCCACAATTAAAATTAATACAGAGTGCAGACTAAAAATTAATTAAATAGTAATAAATTATACATTAAATAATGATTCTCTATATCCCTGAAAAATCCCGATTGTATTAAAAATTATGAAAAACCCAAACTATTACCAAATAAATACAATTTTGATTTAAAAAAAAAATAACTCCAAGTCCAACTAGGAAATAAAAAAAAGCTTTTTAAATGAACGATGTAAATATTTGTTTTTAGCATTCGAAATGTAGGTATTGACAAACGATCTGTTTTCATGACCGTCTGGTTGTATGATATAGACGGATTTTTTTTTCGGGACTATTCCCACCTCTCGTTCCCACCACTGCAACTCCTGTGTATATAGACGGATGTATGACGTTTAAAAGGACGGAACGGAGGACTCCTCTTTGGCAAAATTCCTCGGATAATTGCATTCCGAAGATGTCATAGAGACGACCGGCGTGTTTTCGCACGCTTCACTTGTTACTGCTTGAGCGTTTTTAATAAAAATTAAATATTGTTTACATTTGGGCAATTTGTATTTCTTAAATACTTATCAGCAACATCATTTGTTACCCTCGCAATTTTGCATAAATAAGTTCATGGGTCAATTATTTTAGTTTAATAGGAGACCGTAGCCTTATAAGCCTTTTAACCACCTCTGTGGTCTAGTGGTAAGACCACCTGCTTCAGAAGCAGAGGTCCCGGGTTCGATTCCCAGTGGGGGCAGATTTTTCTGTTCGGTTTGGTTCGTGGTTGGCTTGTTCTAAGTCCGCTTGGCTAGCTACCACCATCTTACCCAAGTCTGTCGATAAAACAACAATGTTAACAGCATTGTTGTGTTCCGGCAGTTAGAGGTAAGATAGCCAGTTCTTCCGTTGTTGAGGATTCCTGGTGAAGCTCGCTTCCATCTTCGGCCTGATCATCACTTACCATCAGGTGAGATACAGGCCAAGAGCTTCCTCGTTGTGGATAAAAAAACATGTTTCTCCAGGTACCCTGCTGGCCTACACCCTGGTGTCTGCTTGCGTGCTGATCCTGCGCTACCAGCCCACGTCTACCAACCTGATCGAGCTGCTGCCCCAAAGCCTGAGGACCCCCGTAGAGCCTGAAGGAACTGCGTCTGGCCAACGCGAAACCAGCTTTGCGGTAAGTCATAAATATTGAGCTTCTAAGTACGAGTAACCTACAATAAACAGTCGTCTTATTTTTTCTGTTTAGCCTGAAGGTTAACTATTTGGTCAACAGAGTTCGCCTTACGTATACCAATTTATATGGAACTAAAGATAGTAAGAAGTAAATAAACAGACGTTAAATACGAATTCTTCTGAAATTCATTGAAGTAGTTTCAAGACAGTAGTCAAAAATGTTCAAATGTTCTTTTCATTCTGAATATTTAATTATAAGACATTATGTGACTGTGCCTTATATTATAGAACTGTGTTAGTTTGAATTTTTACTTTTTCGGATGGACATTGCTGATAGTCGTAAGCGGCTTTTTCAGCTTCACTGGACAATAGGTGAGCGCAGATAGCTCTCAACCTTTAGTCTAAGTTCATAGACTGCAGGATTATACAACGTCACTCGGGACGGGACTCGCGTCACATCCTCCTATCGCTCCCAAACGACTAAACTAGGTAGTTGTTGATACTTATGAATAAATTAGTGACCAATGTCCCATTTTTGTAGTAATACATTTGTCCTTGTAGCTCGACCATGAGTTCAAGCCGAAAGCAGCTTTGCATTGTAAAAACAATAAGTACTTGCTAGTTCTTTTAGTAGCATTATAGTTCTTATTTTAAAAGACTTAAAGTACACAAAAGTTCATTCAAACTTCACTAGGATTACAGTGACCAGAGGCACGGAAGCTTTCAATTGCCGCGTAAGCTCGTTAATCGATTCGATAGTCGTTCGAAATTGGAAATCCGTTTGAAAGCTGTTGGTCCCAATTCTAGTTGGTCTCGTCTCCATATTGATACTCTTCATTTTACACTTTAATATTGTACGTGGAATCACTCATATTTAATTTTTCAAATCCATCGAATTCGGAAAGTAGCTACTTTCCGAATTTGAAGGTGTAACAATGTCTACTCTGATGTAGATTCATCTATGACATATCTACATCTTTGAAGGTTTAGTTATGAAGAGTAATTAATAAAGTAAGACGACCGTTTTTACAATTTCCCTCACCGGAAGACTCCCACTCCAACTCGATTATCTCGAGATAGGCTGCACTTCCTTTTCACGGGAAGCCCACAAGACACGTCCGGTCTTTGAAGAAAACAATATTGACCCCCTTAGATATCAAAGGCCAAGGTGCCAACGACACACAGTCGTACATGAATCTAGAAAATAGTATTGGCACCAATGTTGGGACATATTCACGCTGCCTCTGACGGGACAGGGCTGGTAAACACCTAACGAACCGATCAACGTTGGTACAAGTGTTTGCAGCAAATTGTGGCGCCGGTGTAACACAGATCGAATTCAAACTATGTGTTCTAAGTACGCTTTTCATTGCCACTGTCCTCCCTCTTATTCACCTGAAAGAGGTCACTTTCTGGTAATTCTTTCTAGATATTATGACATGTATTGCCTACTTTTTACACATACCCCCTTTATTAATAAGAAGTTACACTTAGGATGAACACTGGACTAAAATGACATTTCCATTCTAAATGAAAACTTAAGCCAGAGTTCAACTAGCCTAGACAGTCTTTGAATAGAAAACCAGTGAATTTTGTCTTTGGAACAATACTGCTGATAGGCCAGTAGTATTACTATTAAATTCTGTACTATACTCGTAGAAATGAACCTCCCTAAATATGAGGAATTAATTAAAGCTAATAAACTCAAGAGAAGTTTGAAGCAAGTCTCGGATCTATTATTCTATTCATAACGTACCTACGTATCTTTTTATATCACGGGCCGACAAATACTGGAATAGTATAGTTCCCTTCGAGGGCAATTTGCGCGAGTTTCCTGGAGGTGTGAATCAGGGATGTTAAGGATATGAAGTTTCGGTTATGGATACGGCTACGGATATTCGAATATTATTATACCGGTTTTGGTTACGGTTACGGATATGAAATCATTTTGGATTATCCGAAAGTTTCGGATAATTTCGGTTAAGAGTATTAGAATTTGAAAAATGTAAAATTCAAATAGCAAGATGCTGCGCGACCCACATAGCCACTTTATGTACTATGATGACACCTATGATAAAGGTTAAACAGGCAGGGATATTAGATGGTGCCAGGAAACGCCAGACAAGTAACAAATATTAAAAAATATTAAGATTTAGACTGCGCCTTTATCCGAAACTATCGAAAACTTGAATCGGTTTCGGTAACGGATATTTTTTTTTCGATAGCTTCGGTTACGGTTATGGATATCCATAACATCCCTGGTGTGCATCCATTTGTCCCCATGCGCCTAGGGGACATGTGGCGTACAATACAACGCTCTAGGAATTAATCTAACTAAATAGGATTACCGTTGTTTGACATTCTATAGGCTGACGCGATGCTGTGGGAAGCAATTACCAGAGAAGCATTATGTGATGTAGCAAATACGATACAACGTTTGCTTATCTGTCGCCATTGTCTAAAAGTAACACAAGTTATTATAATGTCATGAACAAAATAGAATACTCGTCAGACTCAGGTCCTAACCACAGTTTACTTAAAACATAGTTTGTAAACCTAACTTTCAAACCTAGTAAGAATTATTTACACTACACTAAACTCGGAGGTTCAATTGGTTATACAGTTGACAGCACACGCTCTTATGACAACTGTGTAAGATACCGCAGTGGGTAACTTGATGTGCTCCCCGTATTACAGGCTTGAATCAACCCGATTGTCCAAAAAAAAATACAATTTCACGCTTCGCAGGACACGTTACAGTTGGTCTCATCGTGAGACCTTACAAGCTGGACATTAGAATTTACAACATTATCTGTCATTATTAAAGAAAATGAATAATTTTCCAATGGCAAGTCAAAACGAAACAACGACATCCTAGGGTTATGACGAGTCAAAACTTTACGAGAAGACCGAAATTTTAGAGGAAAGAAAACGTAAAAACTGAAAATAAAAACTCCGGAGTCTGGAGACTAAATCCTACTAATATTCCTATTCCTGCTAATATTATAAATGCGAAAGTTTGTATGGATGTCTGGATGTCAACATGTTTGTGTTACTCTTTCACGCAAAAACTACTGAACGGATTTTGATTAAACTTAACAGTATCATTGTTTATAACACAGAATAACATAATGTAGGCTATAATTTATGACGATCTGTGACAAACTAAATTTCACGCGGGTGAACCCGCGGGCACAAGCTAGTTCCACATAATTATCTGTTAATTAAAGACCTACATAATTGTGGCGTATGTCATACGCAATAAGAACCTTTTTATGTCCTATACCTATTAAGTAATAGGACTTCCAAAAATTAATACTATATCCTGGTTACCGGGACCCAAAAGCCAAGTTCCAAGTTCAACTCGGATACAATTTGAAATACATTTCTTGGATTTATGAGACATGTCATAAAATTGATACCGCTCATAATTTACTGAACCTTAAATAACAGAAAAAAATCAAATCACATCGCCGAATAAAAGAGGATAGTGACATCTAGCGGCAACGGCTGGATTTTGAGGGAAGGGAATTTATGGTTTATGAATTTGATCTTTATTATGAAAGCCAGTAAGTAAACATTTTAACAACCTTTCCTTCAATGAAATGAAGTTTAGAACTGGGCTTTCAAATGATACCAATATTAGTGGGAAGTGGAAGCATACGTTTTAAAGTGTATGTCGCGAGAGGTGCGATTTATTTGACGCCGAGTGTAGTTTTCCCGGCACATTTCAACTCTAGCCCAGTTGTGTAGGTGCTAGTTTTGTCCCAGTTTTGTCCCGCTAACCGGAATAAGAAAAGTTAATAAAATGATTCTAGCTGGGACATTATTATTGAACCTAAAACTAAGGCTGAGTTGCACCACCTTATTTAAACTGTAACAATGACAATAACTGGTGCTTTTTGTATGGAGTTTGACAGATTTTTGACGTTTGTCAAAGTAAGTCAGATAGTGCAACCCACCCTTAGTAAATTCGATATGTTAAGTTTAAAAAAATTACAGTTTAAGTCGAACAGAGTTAAATTTTTACTGTTCGCTAACGTTCGCCGAACCTTAGTCTTTTTCTCATTCCTGACTTATTTTCCCGGGAAAACCATGACATTTTCTGGTTGGGTTTTTATTGGCGATCAAGTTGTCTACAGCTTTCCTCGGATAGTCCTAGTAATGCTCTACTTCTGGGTTTCGGCTTGACGTTACTTTTTGGGACATCCTGTATAAAAACGGAAATGTACGAGTAACAATATAATTGATTATACCTAACTCCATTAGGAAAAAGTCATAATATGAACATACAGGGTGTCCCAGAATGGGTGAATCAAACTGATAGGGGAGGTAGCTCTACTAATGTACTATCCCTAAAAAATATGAAAAAAAATAAAGCGCATAAGGAAACAAAAACATTTTTTTGAAAAACTGAAAATTAATATACTTTGCCTAAGTACCTATCTGGCTATAATTGCTGCGTTTGGAGTTTATTTCTACTTTTTTTCTTGCTAATATTAATTGGACATGATCGCTTCGTTTATCTGTAAACAAACTTTTGAAAATAATGACTAGATTTCGAGTTTTGAGCACTTTATTTAAAAAAAAAAATTGAACTCAAATTTTTTTTTTTCAATTTTGGGATAGTACCTACATTAGTAGAGCTACCTCCCCTATTAGTTTTATTTTACCGATTCTGGGACACCCTGTACATATATATTTATGAACTACATAAACTAAATACAAACATCCCCATCTATAAACTAAGCAAAGCTAGTGCTATGCTACATATGTTGTACTATGTCACATTGTCTAGAGACCTTACCTTGAACTTCGAAGAGCCCCAGCGAACTAGTGCTGCCGCGTAATCGATAGTGTATCGAATATTCATCGATAGCTTAACAGACGCCCTAAATTTATCAACTAATCGATTTATTGACAGGGGTATTATTACCTAGTAGACTAAGAGCTAGTGAACGCCAGACCTACGTCATTTATAAAAGCTGAAAGTTTGTCAGC